CCAGAGAAAATGTGAGCTATTTCCTCCAGGAGGGGGGCACAGGAGAGGCCCCCCCTCCCACTGCAAACCGAAAATTCCTTATTTTTTTGGGTTAAAAAGCTCTTTTTTCCCTTGCAAGGCGCTTTGTTCCAGCTGGAGGGAGGCGCTGGCTCATCCCCACGGGGCAGTGGAACTGGGGGGCCCCACAGCATCCATAGGGACCCCTCTCAGTCCCCCAATTTAATCCTTAGGGCTGTTTTGGGGGAAAAAAAAAACCAACAAAACGAAGCCCTCAGGAATAATCTGGTGGTTTTTTTGACTCGTTTCTATTTGGGAAGGATTGTTCAAAAAGGAATTTGGGAGGAAAACTCATCGGCCAAGTTGGGGGGGGCCCAGGAGGAGCCCCCGGGGGGAGCAGCCCCGGCCCAGGGTCTCGTGGGAGTGAACAAAGGGGTGGGGAAAGAAAAATCCACTTTTTTGGGGAGTTTCGAAAGGAGAGCGAGAAAAATGGGCTTTTTATTGGGTTTTTTTGCCTTTTTTTCCCCCTTTTTTTTCCAGGGGCCGCTGGAGCAGCAGCCGGGGGGGGAGCTGGGATGGAGTGGGAAGGGGGGAGCAGGGGGCTGAGGGTCCTCTCCAGGCTCGGCAGCGTTTTTTCCCTTTTTCTCCTCTTTTTTCTCTTTTTTCCCACCTCTTTTAAATTTTTTCCCCAGTTCCTTTTTCTCCTTTTTTTTCTCCTTTTTCTCCCTTTTTTTCTCCTTTTTCTCCCTTTTTTTCTCATTTTTCTCCCTTTTTTTCCTCATTTTTCTCCCTTTTCTCCTCTCCTTTTTTTCACTCATTTTCCTCTTTTTCCTCTCCTTTTTTATCTTCTTTTTTTCTTATATCTCCTTTCCTGTTTTTTCTCCCTTTTCTCCAATTTTCCTCCCTTTTCTCCCCCTTTTTCCTTTTTTCTCCCTTTACACCTTTTTCTCCCCCTTTTCCTGCCTATTTTTCCCTCATTTTCTTTTTTCTTCCTTTCCTCCTTTTTTTCTCCCCTTTCTCCTCCCCTTTCTACTTTTTTATTCTCCTTTTTTTCTCCTCTTTCTTCCCCTTTTTTTCTTCCTGTCCTCCTCATTTACCCCTTTTTTCACCCCTTCCTTTTCCTCCCTTTCCTGCTTTCCCCCCCCCTTTTTCTCCTATTCCCCCTCCCTTTTCTCCTCTTTCCTCCCCTCCATTTCCAAACTTTAAATAGAAATATATATAATTAAATTTACAAATGCTATTTACAGGTTTAATTACAAAAAAAAAAAAAAAAATCAAAGAGAAAGAGAGACACCCCTTAGACGTTAATAAATCTAAAAATAAAAAATATATAATAATCCCCCCCTCCAAAAAACCCCCAAATTTCAGGCCGGATGGCGGCGGGGCCGGGGGGGTCACACCGTGGTCTCGCCCTGCTTGCTGTTGGTGAGCCGGGTGTAGAACTTCCTCCAGGAGTGCAGGGTTTTCCCTGACCATATCCAGAACCCGGAGGTGATGCCCACGATCAGAGTCATGAGATACTTGATCATGTAGACGGTGAAGTCGGGGGTCATGCGGGGGGTGAAGTGCAGCGGGCAGGGGATGGCCAAGCTCTTGCAGTTCTGGCTGATCCAGCTGCGCTCCCAGTGCTCCCGGAACGCCTGCTCGTAGAAGTAGCAGGCGATGACGATGGTGGCCGGGACGGTGTAGAGGACGCTGAAGACCCCGATGCGAACCATGAGCCGCTCCAGCTTCTCCGTCTTGGTCCCGCCGTGTTTCATGATGGTGCGGATGCGGAAGAGGGACACGAAGCCGGCCAGGAGGAAGGAGGTGCCGATGAAGAGGTAGACGAAGAGCGGGGCCAGCACGAAGCCCCGCAGAGGGTCGATGTTGTTGAGGCCCACGAAGCAGACGCCGCTCAGCAGGTCCCCGTCGATCTGCCCCATGGCCAGGATGGTGATGGTCTTGACGGCCGGCACGGCCCAGGCGGCCAAGTGGAAGTACTGGGAGTTGGCCTCGATGGCCTCGTGGCCCCACTTCATGCCGGCGGCCAGGAACCAGGTCAGGGAGAGGATGACCCACCAGATCGAGCTGGCCATGCTGAAGAAGTAGAGCATCATGAAGAGGATGGTGCAGCCCTCCTTCTTGGTGCCCTGCACCACCGTGCGGTACCCGTCCTCCTGGAAGCGCTCGTTGCAGACCACCCTCTCCTCCAGCACGAAGCCGGCGATGTAGGCCACCGACACCATGGTGTAGCACCCCGAGAGGAAGATGATGGGCCGCTCGGGGTAGCGGAAACGCTGCATGTCCACCAGGTAGGTGGTGACGGTGAAGAAGGTGGAGGCGCAGCACAGGACGGACCAGATGAGGATCCAGATGCGGGCGAAGCGGATCTCGTCCTCGTTGAAGAACATGTGGCCGTCGGGCCGGGCGGGCTCGCAGGGCGCCGCGCAGTCCTTCTCCCCCAGGAACTTGTAGTTGAGGTAGCTGGGCACCTTCAGCGCCCGCGGGCAGTGGAAGGGGTGGTCGAGGGTGGCGTAGCGGGGGGCGCCGGGGGTGCCCTGGCCAGCCAGCGGCGTGGCACTGGTGAGCAGCGCCGGCGAGCCGCCGTCCTCCGAGTGGTTCTGCCCCACGCAGATCTGCTCGGCGCCGTGCCGGGGGAAGTTCTCGCAGCGCAGCCGCTCCGGCCACTGGAAGCCGAACTTGTTCATGAGGGCCTCGCAGCCCTGGCGCGCCCGCTCGCAGATGGAGCGGCASGGCGGGATGGCCTGCTCCAGCACCGTGCACACCGGGGCGTACATGGAGCACAGGAAGAACTTCAGCTCCAGGGAGCACTGCACCTTCACCAGAGGGTAGAACTGGTGGACCTCCAGCCCCGCGTCCTCCTGGTTGGTGTGGCCCAGCAGGTTGGGCATGATGGTCTGGTTGTAGGCGAT